TGTTCCAGAATCCCACGCGTGGACATAAGGCGCTCCGCGTGCCGAGCCGGAGTCAGTCTCGCCCCAGCGCTCGATCCTGCTGTTTCGCCGACATTGACGCCCGCGACCCTAACATTCTTCGATTTTGTTTTGGGCAGAAGTTCCCCACATTATACGTTTAGACTCTCCAGTTATTCGCCGCAACAACATTTGTCGTTCATGATAATATCAGTCAATTTCAGTACGACCTATAGCCCGTGGAAAACTGGGGAGCGCACCAAAGTTACCACTCGTGCAGCAGGCGCAAAGCTAGCAGTGGCAAAACGCGGATTATTAGATAATCATCGCGTTGCGCCACTGCTAGTTTTGCGCATGCTCTATGAGTGGTAACTTTAGTGCCCCTCCCCTCCCTTCCCCTCTCTTCTACCCCCGAGTTTCCCACGAGCTTGAAGTCGTTCTAAAATAGACTGAGATAGTGGTTTTCGATTATGCTCAGCATGTTCCTAACTTAGACCATATGATTATTTTTACTAATTAAAAAGTTATTTAAGGAGGTTTACCTAATTATCCGACTTATCGAAAAATCAGCCATTTATATGATGTACCTCAGGCCGTATAACTCACCGGCGGAGCAGTCGCGCTCCAACCCATCCACTATATGGCGCTGTCATGTGCGATCGAAACAAAGCGCGTACAGTGTAGCTCTCGTTCTCATGCGAGTGTTTGATTCCACTTTATTGTTCTGTGGCAACGCTGGGTTAGTTTTGTTAAAGTCATTTACTTCGTTCCGAGTGGTGCGTGACTTGATACTCGCTTTTTCGAATCTGTTTTTCGCGTCGATACATATCGAAGTTAAGTGTTGGGCTAAGCGTCAGAGGCGTAGAGTTTCAAACCCAGCACCAGCGCAACCGCAGCGGCGCAAACGAGCCGACAATCTTTTTGGCGAAACAGATTAGCTGCTAAAATATATAATAAACTATAGAAAATCAATCAGACCTTTCGTTTTGTCCTAACACATTGATGCCTATAGCTCCCGCCCGCGCGTACCCGCCGCACCCGTGGTAATACGGAAACGTTTCATATACGTCTTTTGTTGTTTCGTAACAATAACCAAAATGGCCGACAGATAATTTCCAACACTGGCTAGAGCATCGTCAATCGGAGCTAGATTCTGCGGGGTTGATTTCCTGTAAGCGAACTAGATTGAAATGGGTGTTTTCGAAATGTTCAGTGACCGTGGTATTTCCTGAAGTACTGAAGTGCGCGTTCCACATAATTGTTTGCGTGATTGCTTTATATTTGCATCTTCATTATGTTGAAAATTACCTGAGACTGTGGTAAAGGTTTGTAAACTTAGTAGAAGGAAAACACAGAAAACGAAGCGTCTCAAACTCGGCTACTGAATATTTTTTTCTTCAAATCCTTATATACCCACAAAAATAAATCCGACCACTAATGTCACAGCACTATCGTTCGTTATACAACTAAACGAATATTTGATGTACATTTAAAAATTTATTTAAACCCATCACATTGATTCAGTGACGAATTGTCTTATGACAAATTGCACTACGTGACGAATACCTTGCAACGATTTGCCTTCATACTAATTGTCTTCATAACAATTCCCGCAGCCTAGAGGTAGTATTGGTCATTCTTCTCATTTCAGAACAATTCCCCTCTGTCCAACTTAATTTTGGGGAAATAAAAAATAACAGGTCGAAGCAGTGGGACCTTCAGTGACATCAGAACTTAATGTGCAGGTCTCTTGGGACAGCCGTGGTTCAACCGACCAATTAAATCGTGGTTCCAAAGTGTTCAGACTGTTGTATAACGAACCTCCCAAGAATTCCCAAAATGTTATCTTCTATCAGCAGTTTCACCCCCTCCCCTCCCCCCGCCCGTTAAGTAATGATACCTCCTGACATTCCACTGTAACTCCCACGTCAGTATTTTTCTTTCGCAAGACTCGCCTCTCTCTCTCTCTCTCTCACCCCGAAATGTTTAATAATCGACACATTGTTCGTTGCTGCTTGGTATGTTTGAAGCTCCGTGCTTCCTTCTTCTTATGATTTTGCAAACGCTAGTACTGTATCCATGCAATTAAACCATTAAACGTTTTCTTCAAAATACGTCGCCTCCCGGCTTCCCACCACCGAACACACGCGTTGTGATAGGGCAACAAACGCCTGGGCCAAGAGATATTTAACCGGGCAACTACAACCTCAGCCCGGAAAACGACCTGTCTTCTGTCCGCAGTTACATTTTATCGTCGATATGCTGGATTTTTAATTCGGGAACAAAATCTTGTTACTTCGGCAGCGAACAAAATGTCTCCAAAATGATGTGCTAAGTAGCATGGTTAAGAAATGCACACCTACATCGTAAATTAAAAAAAAAAAAAAAAATCAAAACGTGTGTCTATATGCAAAACCGTAAAAAATACTACTTCATACATTAGTTAAAAACGTGTAAATATTTTATACATTTATTTTTGTCTCTTGAACTTGTAATTCTGACTGTTCGCCGGGGATGCTACCACTCCCTGGGCCGGTTTGCTCATCTTGCGGCTGCGGACGCGGCCACGGCCAGGAGGGATTTTTACGTCACGTGACCAGCTCCATGGGGACAAGGAAGTACCTAACGTCCCTGCCTAATGGCGGAGAGATCCGCATCGCTTCAAGCACAAAAGCCTAATTTCGCTCGCAGAAACTGATTGGAGGGACTTTCAACTGGAATCTAATTGACCACCCCCCTTATACGGTAGGAGCGGCATGTAAAGTTACGGCCAGGGAGGGCAAATAGAAGCCAAAATAAAGAAAAAACCACACGAGATAAAAGCGGTAGCAGTATTTTTATATACCTCCGCCGGCGCAGCGCCTCGTGCCTTCCCTTGTGGTTGAGAGGTTAAAGCGCCGGTGCTTGTCGTCACGGCGTGAAAGTTCCGGGTTCAAATTGCGCTAAGGACTTCTTTTTTATTTTTTTTTTTGTATTTTGCGCGTGTCTTACTTTTGAACTGTGATCCTTTTTTGGAAATCATCCACTTGCACTACTGCGCCTTACACGCTTTTACTCTTAGTCCCAATTGTTCCATCGAAACACCGGGAAGAAGAAAAAAAAGATCAACGCAAGTTAACGCGCTAATGCAATCATTTCGTAATGTTCATTAAAAGGAAACCAAGCTAACAGCATCAGTATGGCTTTCGCACAAGCGGAGCCGAAACAAGCATCCTTTCCCCAGCATTTACAATTTTATCTGTTTTCAAATAACGCTCTTGCTACGATTCCTTTCAATAACAAGAGACGCCTATTTAGGACTAATAAAAACTGCAGTTGTAGCAATTAAAAAAAATAAAATAAAACAAGCAAAAAAAAAAGACTAGCAGCTGTGGATACATTGATTGAGCGAAATCCTACAGGCAAGGCAGCAGGTTAAACGTCTGAGAAAGTAGTAAAACTGAACTAAAAGAGATCATACTTTTACTTGCATGGAATGAGATAAAAAGTATATTTATACTCTTTACATTTTGTTGTGGCAATCGTTTTGTAATATTAACACATTACTTGTTGAATTTTAGTTAGACTAGCAGACGATCACGACCAAATGCAAAAATGAATCAGGCATCGACCATCGCAAACCCTCTCTCTCATGCAAACACCTAAAATGACTTTGGATCAAGAAATGGAATTAATTATATTTAATTCCATTTTTCCAAAGTCATTTTAGGTGTTTGCATGAGAGAGAGGGTTCGCGATGGTCGATGCCTGATTCATTTTTGCATTTGGTCGTGATCGTCTGCTAGTCTAACTAAAATTCAACAAGTAATGTGTTAATATTACAAAACGATTTCCACAACAAAATGTAAAGAGTATAAATATACTTTTTATCTCATTCCATGCAAGTAAAAATATGATCTCTTTTAGTTCAGTTTTACTACTTTCTCAGACGTTTGACCTGCTGCCTTGCCTGTAGGATTTCGCTCAATCTATGTATCCACAGCTGCTAGTCTTTTTTCTTTTTTTTTTTTGCTTGTTTTATTTATTTATTTTTTTTTTTAATTGCTACAACTGCAGTTTTTATTAGTCCTAAATAGGCGTCTCTTGTTATTGAAAGGAATCGTAGCAAGAGCGTGATTTGAAAACAGATAAAATTGTAAACGCTGGGGAAAGGATGCTTGTTTCGGCTCCGCTTGTGTGAAAGCCATACTGATGCTGTTAGCTTGGTTTCCTTTTAATGAACATTACGAAATGATTGCATTAGCGCGTTAACTTGCGTTGATCTTTTTTTTCTTCTTCCCGGTGTTTCGATTGAACAGGTGGGACTAACAGTAAAAGCGTGTAAGGCGCAGTAGTGCAAGTGGATGATTTCCAAAAAAGGATCACAGTTCAAAAGTAAGACACGCGCAAAATACAAAAAAAAAAAAAGAAGTCCCTAGCGCGATTTGAACCCGGAACTTTCACGCCGCGACAAGTACCGCCGCTTTAACCTCTCGACCACAACAGAAGGCACGAGGCGCGGCGCCGGCGGAGGTATATAAAAATACTGCTACCGCTTTTATCTCCTGTGGTTTTTTTCTTTATTTTGGCTCCTATTTGCCCTCCCTGGCCGTAACTTTACCTGCCGCTCCTACAGTATAAAGGGGCGGTCAATTAGATTCCAGTTGAAAGTCCCTCCAATCAGTTTCTGCGAGCGAAATTAGGCTTTTGTGCTTGAAGCGATGCGGATCTCTCCGCCATTAGGCAGGGACGTTAGGTACTTCCTTGTCCCCATGGAGCTGGTCACGTGACGTAAAAATCCCTCCTGGCCGCGGCCGCGTCCGCAGCCGCAAGATGAGCGAACCGGCCCTGGCCTAAAACCTAGTGAGTAGCGGGTTCTCCGTTGTAAAAGAAATAATTAAACCTAAAATAGCCGTGGAAGATAATGTTTATTATATATGTTGGGTGGACTATATACAGCCTAAACTTTGATGTAGAGCATATATCATATGCTAACACCTCACAGCAGTAAATCTTTTTTCCAGAATTATGACGGAATGAGTGTCGGAAATTGTTGGATTTCTTGCACAAAAGGCTCCAATAAGTTTTTGTTACCACATAGAGAATGTGACAGAATATTTGGAATTGTAAGTCACTTTTTATATTATATTGTTTCATGTACGCACTCCGAAACGCATTCACGTGGTTGGTTACTTTTCTGTATTAAATATATCAAAGATGATTGAGCTCTAATATATGTTTCCCGTTTTCTAATCAGATAAAGTAAACCTGACTCTCATTTCCGACATACAATGAAATTAGAATTCCGTTTGGAGCACTTGAGTGTATGTTGCAAACCTTACATTTTTTTTATTTGTGTTGTGAGTTTGTCAAGAACACCGGTTCTCCGTGTTAGCAAACACGTAGAGTCGTGATAGATATAAAGTCGCTCACGAAACGGAAATCGGAGGGTGCAAAAATTGTTGCACGCAAATTTGGAAGACAAGTTACACGAGAAGACTGATCCCGCGCAAAAGGCAACGTCCTCCGCAGTAAAATCAACGCAAACAGCACCAAACGTGCACTCTTGATATATATATATATATATATATATATATGACGCCGTGATTAGGACTTGACAGAATCATCGGATAAAAAGAGACTGGCTGTATCAGGTTTGGTTTTCGAAGCAACCGAGGCCTTCACGCACCGGTACAAAGACTGCTATTATAACAGATAAAGTAAACAGAAGCAACGTGCGGAAACCAGTGTACGTATGCCACCGGTCACGACATCCTTCTACAGCCACACGCTTGCCTCGTTCTTATTCACGAAGTTCCTGGTAGATTAATTCGTTCTTACATGCATGGAGTGAGCCACAATCGGCACTCGATGTTTAGTTGAGATTGAGATGTGCACCGACACGAGCATCGGCCGACGTACAGTCGGGAGCAAAAGTTTGCGGGGCACGGGAGCGCCGCCGAAAAGACTGGCTGCGCCTTCTCATGGCACGTTGCTGCTCTAAGACTCACGCTATGCGCACGCGCTTCCTTTCTTGCTCGCGGTCATGCTTTTTTCGCTCGCTTCCGTTCGACACGCACGATATATAACTGGGACTGGCGCAAGGTGCCGCGAAATGTTATCTGTAGCATGCGCGAGTTTCGTCACCCACCACGGTGGCTGAGGCAGACGCGCGGTGTGCTGGCTGTCATAGCGGCACCTTGCGCCGGTCCCCGGTTATCTCGTGCACGTCGGGCGGAAGCGAGCGAAAAAGTCATGGCTTCGAGCACGAAAGGAAGCACATTCTCGAAGCGTGAATCTTGAGAGCGGCCGCGCGTCGCAGAAGGCGCAACCAGTCATTTCGGCTGACGCTCCCGCGCCCCGCAAACTTTTACCGCCGACTGTACACGAGCAAACTCACCGCGATCTTGCTTTGCCCGAATGCCACAACACAGCGAACAGCCCACATAATTTTCAGCCTCCGCAGTGCTCCGTTCCCCACATACACGTAACACGACAAAGATCGGCGAAAATCAGTCTTCGTACAAAGCTGATCAAAAACCGCGGAAACAGTCAACCAGCCTCGGCGGCTGCCGCGGCTGCGCCATAGCGTAGAAAACCCGGAGAGGGACGGAACGGACGGAACTCCCGAAGTAACGTTGCGACATCGCTCCGTCCCCCTCCGGGTTTCCCCGCCGAAAAAAAAAAGAAGGCAATAGGAGTTGCTGTCTGATTTTCGTTTGCGATTTCTTCATACAATTTGGCCGCTTTTCGCAAATGTGTTTCAGTCATGACTCATTACGTAGAGTCCGGCGCCGTCGCTACACAGTAGCGCACCAAAGTATGGAGAAAACTAAACTCAACGAACTCAAAAAAAAAAAAAAAGGACCGCGGACTTAATGGCGTACTGCAAAGCATTTGAGTACTGGCAGTATTTGACACGAAGGTCGAATCGATCAATTTCAAGTTTCCTAAATTTACACAAGTCTACCATAACAATATGAGAGTGCACGGAAGCTAAATGTCGGCTCGGCATAAACGAACAAAAAAAAAAAAAGGGAATTTTGGCACTAGTTTCTTACACTTCGGTCAAACGTATATAGTATACCATTGTGAGCACTTGAAACCTCATTGCACTGTGTCGCTTTGCATGTTTCGAAACAAATTGCACCTGAACAGCACGTTATGTCGAACAAGCAGCTACCGAATAAATCGGCGTGCATGGTCCTCGTACCGGACCAGGGACCTCTGCCTTTCCAGCGGAGCGCTAAACCAAGAGTGTTTCACGTAGCCGAATAATATTTAACTAAGAAGGGAGCAAGAAAAACGTAGAACACCGACACACTACGTCTCATGATAATGCTAGAGTAACACTCGAAAGCAACAAGGCAAAGACCCCGTTACCCTAAACGCTACGCACCTCCAGCGCGAGGCGAACACCGTCTGCACACGCTTGTGGCGAGCAATGCATAATAGTGAATCCAGACAACTGCGCGACTCATCTAAGAAAACAGTGGTGCGACAGGTATTCATCAAACAGTCGAAGGAAGGGGATGTAATGCACTTACCGTGAAATCTCCAGGTTTGAGTGCGGCGAACCAAAAACACGTCCGCAAAGTCGCCGAATTGCGCGGGATCGGCCTGGTCTCGCTCACTGCGCATGCGCCAGGGGTGCCTTCACGCGGACAGCGTCCCACGGGAGCGCGGGAAAGAAGTTCACGTGATCTTCCGCCTCTCCGAATAAAAGGGCTGCATTGACTGCGCCTGCGCAGCGCGCCCACTATGTCTGTTCGTTCGGGTGCGGTGGAGGGGTTTACGGCAAAACGGCAACGACGGCTCGCGAGCGGCTCTGGTCCCGTTGGCGCTCCCTGTAATTTTACGGGTTTTTTTAACAGTGCAGGCAACTGGGGGCAATTCGGCCGTTTTTGCAGCTACCATACAAACTAATTTCCAGTAATTGCGCATCTTCTAAGAAATATGCCTGCATGCGTGTATAAACTATATAATTAATTCACGAAGAAGCTACATTTATGTAAAGCAACCCTGTTCCACAAGCACTTCAAGGATAATCAGACACAGGGTCTTTAAAACATCTGCGAACCAGCGCATGCAGAGTGGCAGCGCAAAGTCGGGTTCGCGAGCTAATTTGCCGACCACCCATAGGCCCTTGATATAAATGCCTCTTGAAATGCCTTGAAAGCGGGATGTAATATCGTTCTAAATCATGAACATGCAAGGAACTGAATTGCAGCGTCTGAAACACTTGCGCCACCGCTTCACCGATCCCTCGCAAAATTGCCTTGTGTCGTGCGTACGGACGGAGAGGTTCATCGGCGGAATTGCCTCCGCCGATAGCTTTCGGTATTTGTAACCCAATTTCAAAGGTAAAAGTGACAAGCAGGTTTAAGAAATGTACGTATGCACGTCAATATCGGCCTAACTCAACGTCTTGTACACCGGGTAAACGAAGCCCAGCTTCTCGAAGAGCTTGCGTCACACAACGCCAAACCAGGAAACCGGTGCTGGGAAGCGAGCCGATGCGAGATCGTGGAGCGGAGTCATCTCCTTGACGTCACGGTACGCCTCACCGAATCAGGGCGCGGCGACCGCAGCGACGCTCGTGTTCGCTCTCGGGGCTAATACTGGGCGTTCCAGCTGCGCGCATTTAAGGATAAGCTGCCAATAAAAGCAAACCTTACAAAGGAACCTTTCAAGGCTCTGTACATTATCTGGTGCTGTAGATTTGAATATGTCCTCCAGGCTATCGTCACTTGACTTCAAGGTTCCGTTGTCAACAATAATACTAAAAGAAAACCCTTGAGGCTGCGAGCTGAATATTCCTTGGGCTGATTTTTAACTCAACCTGCCTTATTTGGCTCGATACGATTTCGAAACGGGTTTGGTGCTCCTAAAAGGAATTTTAGTGTACACCAGTGTCGTTCATTTTGACGAGGGTGAAATTAAACTTCGTACAACTCAGCACAATGCCCATCAGCTGTTGGAAACTAGACGGCGAACTGAACAATTTAAATGGCAGACAACTGAAACCGATGAACCCACTGTGACAGGTGAATGCCGTAATTAAAACATTGTCTGCTGCCACCGGAAGTAGCAGAAAAACCCTGCTACAATTAAGTGTTGTGAAGACACTCGCGCTGCCTAGCGAGTACATGATAGACTCAATGGATGCCAAAGGGTACGCGTTCCTTTTTGTCATCGAATAAATTAGGCGGTAGTCAAAGCAAAGGCGCGCTGTGCCAACTTTATTTGGCGCTAAGACCACAGAAATGCACAGGGGCTCAGCAACAATTGCACGGTTCCTGTGTCCAGTATTTCATCAAAAGCCGAGCCTAGGAAATTTGTTTTTTTTTGCACGCTAAGGGGTGTGGGGTTACAGCCCCACGGCTTGGTGTTTCCCGTGTCGATTTCGTGTTGTAGAACACTCGTGACGCCAGGTCTTTCACTAAACAAAGCTGCGTGTCGAGACAAGGCGTTGGCTAGCATCCACTGCTGTTCTTCCGGCCTCTCAAAAGAAGCGAGGATGACTTCGACGTTAGTTGGCGCGACCCCCGCAGCTAACACCTGCTCGTGTCCCGGTCCACAGAGTGAGCATTATGTCCTCTCTTCCAAGTTCAGTGGGGTGGCAAAAAGAATAAGAGAGTCGGTGGGTTGCGATTATACCCGTTGTTCTTTAAGTCTTGAATCATCCCCTCACGACATACGAAATCTCGTCCTAAGATAACTTGAATAGATATGCCCGGCATGTAAAAAAAACGCTCCTTTCTGCGTCCAGCGTTGAGGCATAGGTAAAGGTGTACTGCGCCTTGCGCTCGGCCCATCCTGCCGCTAGGCGCAAGTGTTACAACAGACTCTATATAAAGGTTTCGCTTGAGACAGTTTCTAAGCACACTTCCTCCAAATAAAAAAAAGAGTCGAGCCGGTGACAATTAGTTTATAGTAATTTTTACTACCAATCTGGAGCCGCAATTACGGCCCCGCGTCAGGTTTTTAATTCTGAGTCCGACAGGCCGACGGAGAAAACCCTAGCCGGTCCTTAAACCCAAAACCAGCCAGTCGAGAAGCTGACCTTGGGCCGCGGAAGCGGATGACAACGGTCAATCGGGGGACCCGACTAGAGGTGCCGGCC